CCAAGTCAACCAGAGTTACATAAGAAACACAAACCTAGAAAAGATAAGGTGGCAAAACAGGAAGGGAGGCTTTGAAGAAGAAGGTAGCTAAGCAGATGGCAAGTATTTAAACACAGTAAAAAAAAGTTTGTTGGGAGTGTTTTTTTTTCCCCTAATCTATTGCAAAAGAAAGACGCTGGCAATGTTTCCTACTCCATATAACTGACAGATTCCTTAGGCAACTCCTACAAGAGAATGTAGCCTGGTGTGTGTGAGTTGGTCCTTAAATATTTCTTCAAGCTTGCTTCCCTGTCTGTGTTAATAGCCACATTTCCTGGGGGTAGAGCTTCCCCAGACTCCCTTGAGCTGTACTATTTATCATGGCAGCAGCTGGAGATAAGCTGGACACAAAGAGGATTTGTGTCTCAAGAGGGTCAGTCCCTAGATACAGAAAGTGGAAGGAATTTTCTCATTAGTAGGAAGCCAGTGGTGGGGACTCTGGGTTTTCATCATGAGCCCCCAGTGCAAATGGCAGCAGGGAGGAGGGAGTCCCAGAGGGTTAAAGAACTCCTCTATGCTTTCATTGTACAACTCTAAGTTTCCAGAGTGGACATCTTCAGGAGATGAAAGACAGAACTGCTGCGTGTACTTTTGAAGCTCTCTAGGGGGAAGCAGAGAGTCCACCTGTTTGGACTTAATTATTTCTTCCCACCCATCGTAGAGCCACGCCACAGTTGGGGGGCATTGGATGGAGCACCCTAAACGTGGACAGCCCAGAAGGGAGCACTGCTAAGTGAGAGAAACCCAAGGAACCCTGAAGGCCAAAGTCTCAAAGAAATTGCTATTATCACCTTGGCCAGTCTGGACTAGGAAACTCAGTAGTGTGAGAGTGGGCGTGCAGAGAAGACAGGCAGTCCAAGCACAGAGAGTAGAGGACAGGGAGTCCTAGCATAAAAAGATCTAGGACACTCCCAGGACTCACAGACTTCAGAGGGATTCCAAAATCTGAAAGCAAACTGACCAAGGTGATTTCTCTGAGTTTGGTACAGTATGTAGTCTGGGGTGTGAGTTGGTCCTTAAATATTTCTTCTGATAGTCCTAAATTAGCTAATTCCAAAAATTTTGATTATCAACTGGGGTTCCCTACCAGCACTGCATAGACTTTGGGAATAAGGTGGGTTTCCAGTGGCCTCTGGTTGGTTGTCAGTTTCCCTTAACATTGTTGAAAGCCCAGAGGAAATGACCACTCCCCAGTTACCCCTCCTTCGCAATTCCACTGCACTTTAACACCCCCTGTTAGCACAATACTTGAGGGAAGGTATGATGGTGTACTCTCAACAGTGTGAGAGAGACACCTGTATCACTTCCCATCAATGTCACAGTGCCCTGGACAGCACTTAGCTCAAGATATATTGTGTGAATAAATGCATCTTTGTCCCCCAGCTTCTAGACCAGTGGCTCAGTTTACAGCACAGCATTGAAAATGTGACATATGTACACAATTTTTATACTTCGTAATTTTCTCAAAATTAATTTTTTTCACTATAATTTTGCATACTTGATCTTAGCCAAAAGTAACAATGTTGCATAATGGTGGGAAAAACAGCCATGTTACAGGCACATTTCATACCTGAATTGACTACAGAAGCTGATCCCAAAGCCATCCAATGGAAGAGGAAGCCTGGAGAGGGGCCACTGGAGTGCATGTGTAAAGAAAAAGGTTGCTATTGTATTTTCAATGCCCTTTTCCATGCACAGAATGTGCCGGGTTGGTTTTTATGTAACTCCTGCTTTTCCAGAATAGGCTGCACCCCACTACCGAGAGTGAGCCGGCTTAGAAAGCCCAGTTTTTCTCTTTTCACACTGCCTATGAAAAACCATGTGTGGGGAGTAGCATTAGACACAGAAAAAACTAGGGACTTCAGCTGGTGCCAAAGATACCCCTGAACACAGAGCCAGGGAGTCTTGTGTGTGCTGGACTGCAGGATCTACATCTACCCCCGGGCATGTCATGGCAGCAAATGTGAGGACCAGATAGAAAGGCCCCATCTTTCCCCCTTTGGAAACGCAGTGGCTTCTGTGAACACACTAAAAGTCCCTTTCTCTTCCTGTTTCTTCTCCAATTTCTTCAGGGAAGTTAATGCCCTGTCTAGTTCTTTTGTGTGACTCCCTGGATTCGCAGATCAACAGAGGGTTGAGGTGCAGCAGTGGGATGAAGGCGCTCTAAGCTGGCTTGTCTAAGCCACATTCTCGCAGTAAGTGAGCATCAAGGCTGTCCCAGGCCAAAGGAGCTTCAGAAGTCTGAAGCTCTGGGTATTTTGCTGACATTTACTGATGACTCTGAGTTCTGATAGCTGCTCTGGTCCCTCTTGGGAAGAATGTACACACAAAAACACACTGCTCCATCCCTTTCTTGGAGGAAGTGGGCTGTGGCCCCCAGGTTGAGAACCAGTGGCCTAGAGGATGATTAGATGGGATTTGCCTTTCCTCTCTGCTTCCTCCCAAGGAGGGCCTCACCTGTGCACTTAATGAAGCAGCCATAGGCAGGGACACTCTTACACTCGTCAGTCAGCCAGGGGCACAATTCATGGCAAACCCTGATACATCATTTGTCACCCAAAGTCTGAGGTTGGAGGTTTGTTTGCAGCACCCATCTTCCTCACATTTCTACTTCCCTTCATTTCTCACTCCTCCATCCTCACAAAGCAAAATGCCAATGCTCCCCACTGACAAGTCAACCTCCAGGACCCACTACTCCCTGTCATTCAGAACAAAAATACAAAGCCAGCAAAGCCAACTGAATCATTTTATTGTGCAATTTCCTTCTACCAGAAAAATCTCTAAAAATATAAATATGAACTCTCTAAAATATACTCAGAATAGATCTGTAATCTTCCTTTTCCAAACTGGGACTAAACTTGTTCTTTAAAAGCGGATGTAACTTCTTATCACCCACATATCTAGCATTCATAGATATGTCTCCTTCTGTGCAGGGGCCTCTGTTCTCCTGCCAGGTTTGGAAGCTCACCTTGTAATCTATCAGTATAAAGCTATGGACTGAATAGGGGCATGCGATGGGGTCAAGGAGGAACGGAGAGAGAATGGGCTCAACATCCTTAAGTGGACATGGAAGACAGGCTCTTCATTCCTCCTGGTTATGCTGCCCTCACATGGACTGAGCTACTTAAAGACCAAGCTCCCAGAAAAGCTGGCCTAATCAGGAGGGATTTGTAGGGTGTGGCTGGCATGCTACATTTGCAGGGAGGCTACCTGCACAGGAAATCAGGTGGGGCTTTGGACGGAAGAGTTGGCTGAACCGAGGCCCTCAGCAGATTAGTAGTAGTTGCTCCTCCTGGGTCCTGGATAACACTTAGTCTTTAGCACCAGGCAGACAAGGCTCAATCTTGGAGGGTCTCCCACAGTGGCTGCATCACCCCTGCTGCAGGTGGACAGCCAAAGAGTTGGTGCAGGGTCTCATCACACCTTATTTGGCATCAGACATGAGTCTGAAGACTTCTGGTTGGGATCCCTTGGCTACTCCTGCATCTGAAGGCAGAGAATCCTGTGGCATCCTGGGAACTTTCAGCATGCCTGGCTTTCACAATCCATACAATGACTACCATATCACCTGGTCTGGGGAGGGACAAATGAAGTTGCAAGAGAGCTCAAATAACACTGGGTGTGGTCTCTGATGTGTGTTTATAATCTCAACCCTGGCATCCTCAGTTGTTGGTTTTGGATGGTAACTACATCATTCTGGGACTCCAACCTCAGAGACAGATCACATCCTTGGCATGTTCCTGGAGTAAAGCAGGTCTACATGTGGTAACAGAATTGTTCACTCCACCAGGAGCCAGCTGCATGGACACTTGTCTGAGGGTAAGAGGCAGGACTTTGCAGGGAGTACATGTTTTCCAGGGCAATGGAAGACAGGGTAGAAGAGAATGCGTGGGAGGGCAGAGATGAGGCTGTACAGCTGCAGAAGCAAGAATATAGGAAGGTACTCCCATGCATCCTAGGGAACCTGCTGAGGTCCCCAGTTCTGTAAGAGTTAGCATAGATGTTTTATATGACAGAAGTGGTGGGGAGGAGAGCAGGGGCTCAGTGATGCTGAACTGGGAAGTGAGACTTGGGTGTCCCAGAGCTCAAGGGTGGGAAGCCAAGCAATGAGTAGAAAAGAGGAGACTGCAGGAACCAGACAAGAGGACTGCCCACAGGCAGTCCTGGCTAGGTGTGCCATCCCTAGCCTCCCCCAGGGGTCCCAGCCCCCTTGCTCAAGAAAAGGGATGTTCTCTTCTTGCTGCAAAGGTCCCATGGTTGGGATCACTACAGGATCTCCTGGCCACAGGAAGACAGCATGATAAGCCTCCTGGTGAGAAACAGGAATACAAAAGCAGGTTAACCCAGGAGGGCAGGAACTAGTTAAGATGGAATGAATCTTGTCAGTTCCCTGCACAGATCCTGAAGGTGGGAGCAGAGAAGAACCACTGGCACCGGGATAAGGGAGAGGTAAGCTAGAGGCCCCTTCTGGGAGGCCACGCACTGCAGGAGACTCAGGCAACTTCAGCACAAGCACAAAGCGCCTTCTGCTAAATTAAAAGTGCTTTGCCTCCACAGTTCTCATCGCATTCCAATCTCTCACATGCTTCACCCTGGCTCTCACACTTACCATTCCCAGGCTCTAGTGCTGCCTCATTCTCAACTATGGGGTGGCCCTGAAAAGCTGCTCTGATCCCTATGCACTTCTCTGTCCTGGCTTCACTCCCTTCTCTACAGCCTTGGCTCTCGGCTCCCTTCCGTTGGACCACCCCATATTCCTGGGTTGTCCTCTGAAAGCAACATCAGAATATGCTAGGCTGCTTCTGCTGGGGCCTGCCTAGCCCCATTTTTGCACACCCAGAAAGGAAGCCTGATTTGTCCTTCTGTGCTGGGAGTCCCAGCATAACTGGTCACATCTCTTTCCCAAGTGCCTCTCCCAGACATGCTGGAGGACTTGTTTGTATTCTACATCTGACTGGATGGGAAAAAACCTTGAGAACCCTAAGTAACAGGGTTCACATCTTGGGGAAGCCTGCAATGTCTCAGGCCTGATAAGTACCCCTCTCTGGCCCCACCCCAAGGGCAAAGGAAAGATGCTCTCATGGCCAGGAGGAGCCATGGCTGGACTGTGGTTAGGGTGTGTGGCTTTCCAGGTCAGGCCCCATCATCAAGCCAAACCCTTCCTTCCTTGCCCAGTCTATTCTCCCTGATGCAGGAGGCCTCTGGGCCAGCATAGAGACAAGGAAGCAGGGCATGAGAGGAAGAAAAGCAGACAGCATATGGGAGACAGGCAAAGAGAATTCCTGCCAGATTCATTATCCTGGATTAGTGGGCCTGCAATTCAATGGAAAACAGGGACAAACTTGTGGGTATGAGCTCCAGTAGCAAAGCACTGCAGCCAACAGCCAGAAGAGCTTACAGAAAATGAGGATCAGAGAAGCCACCTCAGTCCTCTTGCTCTTCTGCAGATAGACTCTTTAACTAGGACTGCTCATGTACTTTTGGCCCTATGACATCTCATGTGGAGAATGGGCTCTTTGCTGGTGCCTCAGGGAAGATACAGGGCACAGCAGAGCTGGGGCAAGGGCCCATGTACACAGTGGAGGAGAATGTAAAGGGAAGAGGGTGCTCAGTGGGAAGACAAGGGGCTCTACTCAAAGGACAGCAGGTCTGGGTGAGGGCCCTCATTGTCCAGGCTGGAGGTCCGTGCCCGAGGTGGGGAGCTGCTGTCTTCCCAGGACTCATCCAGGTTCATGGGGCTCAAGCTGAGTTTGAGGCCATTCCTCTCTATAAGACCAGGGGAGGAGGCTCTTCTGTGCTCCATCGCCTTTAGCTTGGATTCATCCTGGCTATCTTTGTGGATTAGGTCAGGGACTGACAGGGACACCTCGCCATTGGGCAGAGCCTCGCCCCTATCTCCTGTTTCCATGGTGGACTCTGGCTGTGAAGTGTCTGCCATTGGAACAGGCTGGACAGTGGGAGGGGAGTCCTGGGGCTGCCCAGGAGGCAGCTCTGTCCCATACTCCAGACTGCTCAAGACAGGCTGTGATGAAATCAGCATGTCCTGGGTGGTCTTCAGGGCACGAGGTGTCCTCTTCCTGGTCACTGGAGGTGGAGGATCCAGTCGAGGGAATGCTTCTTGGACTGACCTGTAAGGCAGATGGCAATAAACACACATGCTTTACAGATGGAAGATACCAATGTGTGCCATATTCTCGCTTTTCTAACTTAAATACCCAAAGAGTTATTCACCCCTTGGACTCTCGTTCTGGGTATATGTCTTAGCAACTGCAGTACAGCAGTTAGCTTCTGGCCTGTTCCCTCCTTATTTAGTGTTCAGAGCAGCACAAAGTATTTTTGTGAGTGAGAGGATAAAGGTCACTAGGGAGATGTGTCATCTCAGAACCTATGCAGTGAGCCCCATAAAAGGCATCACGTCAGAGGTACCAGTGTTTAAAACAAGGCCTGGAAAGGACCTGCTGGAAGGAGGTGGGAGAATGGGAGGGCTGCCACAGCAGCTTTCTCCCTTTGCTCCCAGTGGGCTCTCAGTCTGGGGCAGTGGTTCTCAGGTATGGCTAGGCATCAGAATTCAACTGGGGAGCTCCTGGGTAACACTTGGGTTCAAAGCCAGCTCTGCCAAGTACTAAATGTGTGACCTTAAGCTACTTACTTCACCGCTCTGAACGTAAGTCACCAGCAGAATGAAAGTATTTCTACTTCCCTGGGGTGTGTGTGAGATAAAAAGATGTACCGAGTAGGCAGTACAGTGTTAAGGAAGTGATGGGTGCTCAGTAAGTGTTACTATAGTTATGAAGGTAAAGCTGGCTTCCGTGAACAAGGCCTAATACTTCAGTTTTTCTCCACTTGACAATTTCACAGCCCTTCCTCAGGGCTGTACTCCCCTGGACACACCACTCAAGTGGAATACTGGGAGGGTGGGGAAACTCACCTTTCACCCTCCAGCCAGGACCCTGATGCCACATTAGCCCCACTGGCCAGCTGGGCCCCCGCTGTCTTGTTGATCTCCATCACGCCCACACTGCCAAGGCCTGAGGGCTCCTTTCTCCGCAGCAGATCATTGACTTTGGCCCCCATGGCCTTGCCTAGGTTCTTGAGGTGTTGGCTGCTGCCCACCCTCAGTCCTTGCCCTCCAGGCTCTGCAGAGCCCAGGGTGGCAGAGCTGGGGGCTGCAGGCCTGGACAAGTGGGGGAAGGAACGGCTAGATTGCAGCTTTGGAGTGAGGGCTGTGTTCATGTTCTCGAACATGCTGTGGTCAACTATGAAGAAAAAGGGAAGAAAGAGAAAGGCATTTGAGGAAAGAGGGGTAGGACTTTGGATCATATCACTTGGCTTTTTCTTTTTTTACACCACACCCATAACTTGTAACTTAATAAGGCTTTGGAAACATTCAAGAAGGAGCTAGGAAAGATGCTTTTGAACTTTCTAGGGCAGTTGTCTTGATGGGACATGAGACCGGAAATTCCAGTTCTGCCCCACCTGAGTTAATCAGTGACTGACTCAAGCCATAAAAAGATGAATTTATTTCTTTAAGTCAGCATCCTTGACTCATGGCTTGACTCCTTTATCTTGAGGTCACCAGGCCTTGGAAGCAGAGAGAAAATGAGGATGGGGCAAGGATATGCAACATGTTTACACAGCTGTGAGCACATGCTGAGCTCCCTGACTCAGGCACTGGGACAGGACATAGTACAGGGATGGCAAGTGAGAGGCTTGGTGTTGGAAGTTTCCCACTGAAAGCCAACATCTAACACATCTTCTCTTAGAAAAGTGGGGCTGGCAGTTCCTCAGGTCTCCTGGGGTGGAACTTGGAAGAGTGAGCCAGCTCACGTGCAGAGGCCAGGTGGTGGAACAGAACCAGCTCATGCCACACAGACAGGTGGTCAGTGCCAGTGAAGCACGAGGATCCTGACAAGTCCAGCTCACCTAACCCTCACAACCTAAGAAGAGGGGCACAGTAAGTTATATACTTCTAGATGAGGAAGGGGGTCAGGGTAATGAACTGCTGGGACTGAGGTCTCGCTAATTACTGACGGGCTGGAACTAGAACTCAAGTCTTCTAACCTAGAGCTTGGGGCTCTTTCTACTGCTTAGAACATGAAACAGTGGTGTGAATATGCCTGGCAGATGGTCCTTTTCTCTGGGATTTCTCTTTATCTTGAACAACTACCTCAAAGGGCTGGGTATAGACCACTGGGCTGTAAACACAAGGCAAAGGCCATGCCACATCTGTCTTTGTGTCTTCAACAATTAACTCAGGTCTGGCATATAGCAGGTTCTCAACAAATATCTTGAATTTAATTGTCAAAATCCATTTTGCAGATGGAAATTGTCAAGGACAAGATAGTAGCCCCAAGGTTTGCTGTTGAAAGGGATGGACTCTCAGACTCTTTGCTACATCCAAATATTGGCACCTGGGTATCCTTTCCCTACTTGAAAACTGAGCTTAGTAATCAAGGCAGTCAGATCTATTCTAAGGCCCCCAAACTGGGCCTGAAGTATCCATGCCAACTGCCCCAGATATTCTGTCAGTCTGAAGGAAGGAGCGGCTATATAATTCCTCCTCCATTCCTTTCCTTGTCAACCTTTGCCAAATGTCTATTCTTGCTGAGCCTTTCCTAAGAGTACCTGAGGTTAGGGCACCCTCCTGCTTCTATTGGATTTTGTTATAGAGCAGCCCTGTTTGTCCTGCACTGCTGATTCCTGGGTCAGCGGGAGCAGGACTCCCCACAGAGCTATCCCATCTGGGCCAACTACCTAGATAAGCCATATCCTAAGGATTCCTGAATGGCATGGAGAAAGCCATGGGAAGAGGGGTAGCGCTCCCATGCTGTGGATGAGCCCAAGGGTCTTTACCTCTACAACTGCTTCTGACCCACCCACATGTAGGTGAAAGCACTCCTGCAGAGTGGGGGTTGTGCCAGGAAACTCAGATGCCAGCATCCCTGGGATACAGGGCCCAAGCTACCTGGGCCCTGATGTATACCCAACAACACCACAGGAGTTCCCACAAGCAGGGCCATCAACTTCTGATGATTCTCCTGAGAGTGCATCTTGCCATGTCATCCACACTGGCACAATTTATCTAGCACAATACACATCTTTCTCATTTTTCTTTGTTCAAGTACTCTGCAAATATTATTTGAAAACTAAACAATTTCACAATTTCTGCATTTGGGACCACTAAGGATTCATTATGAAATGCTTCAGAGAGGTATGTTGGGGAAAGCAAGTCCTCCTCCATTTTTCTTGGACCTGATAACATTTCTGTTGTGGTTTCCTTGTATTTTCAAAAACAGATGCACTCATTTTTCAAAGTATAAACATCAAAACCTTCTGTCAAAGTGACTTGTAAAATTATGAGCCCCTATTATTATTTTCAAAATGCACTCTTTATAACAAACAACCTTTGGATTATACACCATTTCCCTGTACTTGCTCTCTACTCTTCATAATATACTCTACAAAATACACCGAAATCCTAAGTAATGTAAAGATAGTCTGTCATATACACTCCTTACAATTTCCTAAATCTTTCTGGTAAATAGACCTTTTCTCTGTAATAAAATGGCAAGCTCCTCAAGGGGTCATAGAATCTTGAGTACTTTTTATCTTCCAAATGCCTGGTGTAGGTCCTTGAAAAACAGCAGGCATTTAATAAGTTAGTTTAATTGAATTTGACTTTATATGAAAGAAATTATATCAGCATTATGGCCTAACATGATAGGGAAACTGTTCACAAGTCTGTTTTCATTTTCAAAACTCCTCAAAATTCCTCTATGGGAGTGGTTGCAGGGGGTCTTGAGTTAGACCAGGAGAAACTGTGCTTTTCCAAAGTGTGCCTCTGAATAGGATCTCCTTCATGCCCTGAAGGATGTGCAATGAGCCCCTTTCCTGCTGACGGCTCTGATGACCCACCACTCTATCCCTTCCTCGGGAGAGAGGCTTCATGATTCAGAAAATAATGGTGATGGAGGAGAGACAGAGATGACTACCCAGCTGGTGGCCCTCCCAATAGCACCCCCCAACATGCACATACCCAAGCAGAGGAGGGAGGGCATCTGGGACACAAGTCATCCACAAGAAAGAGGGTTATCTTACCTGTCCAAGAAAAGGGCTCAGAAAGCAGGTGGGAAACAAATGAGAGAAAGAAACATTTTATCTAGTGACCAACCACTTTGTGAGAGTCATCTCCTGTTTGAGCCACCACAAAAAACACAAGAGCAGATATATCATGCAAGGCAGAGGCTCTGCTATTAGGCACTGATTCAGCCTCCCCAGTCCTCACCCCAATATTTTGAGCCCCTTTATATTATGTACATCTCAGATTCCTAGTTGGCAATGGGGGAAATGTGATGGGCTATGGCAGAAATAAATTCTAAGTCCTCTGGGTCCTGTGTGCATAGCTCACCTTATGCTATTTTTCACATGTAAATCACTAGATTTTAGCCAGGAAGACACTATGTCCACTCTGACTCAGAATCTAAATTAACAATAGGGAGAAGCCAAGTGGCAAAGAGTTTGCCAAAACCACACCCATGGAGGGGGAATTAGAAGTCACATATCCTGACTCCTAGACCCATGATCTTGCAATGACCCTAAGAAATTGTCAACAGCCTCAGTGGTGTCAAAGTATGCAATTTCAACTTACATTCTAATGCACTCTAATGTTCCAAAGCAGACCCCAAGGGAGAAACACCAGCTCTTCCCACTGTTCTTCAAATGTTTAAGTGCTAGGAGTAAATACAGAGGGGAAGACAACTCTGGGCTCTTCTTACAGAAGCTGACACACTGCACCCATACATACTCCACACTAGCCACTGGCACTGCCACCTAGCATAAACAATATCACCACTTAGATCTCAAGCATGGCTATCCATCTTGGTGGCAGGTTATGATGATTCAGGACGGTGCACCTTCAGCTTCTCTTCCAAATGTCACAATAATCTTTCCCCTCATTCTACATCCCACTAGTGCATAAGGTGGTTATACGGGAAACCAAAGTAGAGGGAAGAGGTAGCCCTGGAGTTCACAGTCTTACCAGCAAATTGACCTACAATGAGTGAAATAGTATGGAGTAAGTCACCCATTTGTGTGGCTGAAGAAAACACCAGCCATTGGAAACAATGGTCCCTATTCTTAGGAAACACACATTGACGTATTTCGGTGTAAAAGGACATACTATTTGTAACTTACCTTCCAATAGCGCAGAAAAAAATTTAAGCATATACACACACATACATAGTGGGTGACAGATAAAGCAAATGGGGTAAAATGTTAATAGGAAAATCTAGATAAAGAGTATATGGGTGTTCTTTTTATTAATTTTATTACTGAAAATTTTATAAATTTGAAATTTTTAAAAAAATGTATTAAAATATGCTCCAGAAGAACCCCCCCAGTAACTAAAACAAAACCATAAAAATATGTTGTGGCAGAGGTCAGGCAGATAAAGGAGAAGAAAAGCAAGCTTATCATTTTGAGAAGACAGAGAGTCCCAGAGCTATTGGAACATGGTGATGTTGACACAGAAAAAGTGACAATAATAAAGAAAAAAAGGAACAAAAAACACAGAATCACTAATAGTTCTCTATCATATTCTTCCTTCTCCCTGGGTATTCTCTACCAGGGCATGTAACTGAGGAGTGACAAGTCAAAACATCTTTAGTAATTAAAAAGAAAAGTAACAAATCTTGCATACAAAAGACTACATGGAGTAGTGTTCAAAAGAGTAACCTAGCTGTTGAGTAGAATGTGACCTTGTGATGTCAACTGTGCTCAGAATGTTTGTCACCTGGACAACCGGGCCAGCCTCTTGGGAGCAGGTGTGCGATTTCCATACGTGGCAGTGGTCAAAATATGGAAAATTTCTCACTCCTCACCATCTCTGGACCTCGAATCTCTTCCCCTGCCCTGAGCACTTTTCCTGACATTATGACCTCACATGCCACCAGCTTGCCAGGTAAACTCTAGTGTCATTTGGGCCACAGAGATATTGGTTTTGTTTTGAAGCTTTTATTTGAGTTACCAGATCATGTTACAGAACCATGATTTAGTAAGAAAGCCAAATTACACAATGGGAGAAAATAATTTTTCAAAATACCGCATTCTTGGTAAGTAATACTGGCTGTTTAATAATTTCTGGCAAGGGAAAAACAGAAGAAATATTTGTGGTCAAATTTTTCCCTGTAAAATTTTCATGACATCTCAAGGTGGGGGGATCTGCCTACATTAAGAATAGATACTTGCATTGTGTTTTGATAAGCTGGAGAAGGTTTAGAGTTATAAAATCATCAGTTGATAGCTAAGCAGTAGTACTGAGCATTTCATGGAACAAAGGTAAACACCATGAGGACTTGCTATTCAGGGTGGTCCCTAGACCTGCAACATCAGTATCACCTGGACACTGTAAGAAATGCAGAATCTCAGGCCCCCACCCCAGACCCACTGACTCAGAATCTGCATTTTTTAGCAAGAGTCTTATGTACATTAAAATTTAAGAAGTACTGCTCTGTGGAGCAGTTCTCCTAAACACCCATTTGCTATTTGTTCTCCTAAACATGACATTAATCTGTCCTCCAAACTGAGCACACTTATTGCCCTGGGATTTAAGGCACACTCTCCCCACTGCTGGTGCTCGGGATTGAACCTAGGGCCTCATGCATGCTAAGCAAGTACCCTACCACTGAGACAATCCCTCAAACCAGATCTATTCTTATCCAAGTGTTAGCAGATATTCTAGGGTATGCCATGCACCAAGGAGCCACTTGACCCCTCTCTTGCTGTGGGCATAAGATATTTCAACTGGAGAATCAGGTTTCTCATTCTCAAAGGGACAATGCAACATGGCTATTATAGCCCATGACCAGAGCTTCCACCCTGGAACCTGGATCCCAGAGTGCCCCAACAATGTAAAGTGAAGTCACAATATGTGTTGAGCCTCAGGAGGGCCAGATGAGAGGTGGACCAGGCATAAAGGTGTCATCAGGGCCACATGTTTTGAAACAGGGTCTCGCTATATAGCCCAGGATTGTCTGGGACTTGGTATTGGTAATCCTCCCATCTTGGCCTCTGAGTTCTGGGAACACAGGTGTGTACACACACACCCAGCTCTGGGCCACATCTTAAAAGCCCCTTTCTAGAAGACCTTTCTTAGATCCCAATGAAACTGCCCCATTTGGAATCTTCCAGTGTGTTGTGCAGAATTTCTCCACCTAGCTGGGTTCCAGAGGTATTGTTTTTCTTCAGCTTTGAGATCCCTTAACATACAGAAGGTGAGCCTTTAGGTAGGTCTTGGGGACCCTTAAGAAGAAGACTCCTAGTGTTGCTCAGCTCATCAGAATATTTCTTGTATAAACCAAACATCGCAAAGACAGTGGTACCCACTGAGGCTTCCAGCCTAGCTTAAGGCCCTGCCACCCCAGTATCAAAGCAGAACTTTCTGACTTGGGGTACATAACACAGTACCCTCATGAGGTGAGGCCTTTTCTGACTCTGGGCTGGAACATATGAGAAGCTAAGGATGGACAGTGGCTACACTCTAAGGGAAGGGTGCCTACAAGCTGTTCAACATGTGCCGCCTTTTCACTTTTAGCCTCTGATACAATCTGTCCTAGCAGACTAGGCCCACAGGCTTATGGAGGCTTCTTGCTTTTCCTCTCTCTTTTGGGCTGGTAAGGAGAAGCAGTTTCTATCAAGTAGGATGCTGAGGGATTAAGATGGGCACTGAAGCTGGAAAAATGGTCACAGTCATTGGTGACACAAAGGGACTATAAAATGTCAGAGATCTGCTTATTTATTGGACCACATATCCTTTTCCATATTTAGAGAAGTCAGAGACCAAGTGTCTCTAGGGAGGGAAGGACCTACCTGACACACATCACAGCTTAGTGATTGAAAGGAACTTGTCCTGCCCAGAGATCCAATAACCATTGCACCAAGACAAAGGTGCAGGAACAAATGCCTTAAGACTAGTCTCCCCATCACATCAATCACCTGATCTCGGTTGCCATCAGGGTGAGGTGGAGGTCACCCATGGTCACACCTGCTGCCTTCCTTCTTGGCTTTCTGCTTCTCCCTAGTGGCCTCCCAGCATCCCAGCTTCACTGTTCCCTGCCCACGGCCTCTAGGCTCAGACCCAACCCTTTCCTTTACAGATTGCACCTTGAGGGATATGCAGAATGGGGAGAAGCTGAGGCGAAACTGCACCATCTACCGGCCCTGGTTCTCCCCTTACAGCTACTTTGTATGCACAGACAGAGAGAGCCACCTGGAAACCTATAGTTTCCCAGAGGTGGAGCGGGACGAGGGCAGAGGGGACAACTGTTTTCCCGAGGACATGACTGAGAGTATCTGCTCGTCCTCTTCCTCCCCAGAGAACACATACTCCCGAGAGGGCACCAAGAAATCTAGGCATGGCCCGGACTCCACAGACTACATCACATCCCAGGACATCCTAATGGCTTCCAAGTGGCACCCAGCCCAGCAAAATGGCTACAAGTGTGCGGCCTGCTGCCGCATGTACCCTACTCTGCACTCCCTCAAGAACCACATCAAGGGGGGATTCAAGGAGGGTTTCAGCTGCAAGGTGTACTACCGTAAGCTCAAAACCCTCTGGGGCAAGGAGCAGAAAGCCTGGCCAGGGGACAGGCTCTCCTCAGGCAGCTGCCAGGCCTTCAAGTAGTCCTGCTGAACACCTCGGGTAAATACGGGATGAAGCCTACTTATGTCTCTAGGGAGATGCCAATAAATCAAAGTTAGTCACAGCCTTCTGTCAAGCCTGAGGTCACCCTGTACCACCTGCTGTCTTTCCCAGTATCCAGCGAGTCCTCATTCTCTTCATCTAGTTGTTGCCTAGCAACACCAGGGCCACCTCCCTCCCTTCTCTCTAAAATAAAGACAAAACCTGAAGTTTGGGAATATCCTCTAAGATAGTGGGTCTTAAAGCAAGATGCTCAGACCAGCAGTATTGGCATCCCCTGGGGACTGGTTAGAAATGAAAGTCTCAGTCATATGCAGTCAGAAACTCTGGAAGGGGAGCCTGGCCTGCTGTGTCCTAACCAGTCTTAAAGGTCACTCAGAAGCAGCCCAGAACCACTGCTCCAGCATCCTGGCCTATGTGATAAAGTCCCTGCCACACACTGGGGATGAGGGGTTGTCTGCAAGGGGGAGTCTGAAGGCTTCCTAGGTGGTAACTTTTCAGGGGTATATTGGAGAGGATAATACAGCCCTGAATATAAGGCAGGAACAAGACAAAGAGGTTGGGCCCATCCCCACCACATATACCACAATCACTCACTTAAAAATTGGCATCTCTTGCTGAGTCAGAACAGAATCACATTTGACCCAGGGAACATCTTTTCATGTCTGCTTTGAGTCATGTCAAAACAGGCAGGTAAACATGTGAAAATGATGCTCCCTGTTACCAAGTAATGTGTCCAGTGGACAGCCCTGACCCTTACTCCATTTCTGTACAAACCATGCTGCCAATGTGACCCAGAAAGATTAGTGAGCATCAGAGACACAGAAAGGACATCTATTTTGCCCTCTATGTAGGTTAAAAAAGAAAGGTCTAACACTTGCTGGTCATATTTTAGGCCTGATTTCCTTTTGGCTTCAGCTCCTTGATGACTCAGTGGGCCATTTTACTGCAGTGGGGCATTTCCTCTCAGAGACCTGGCATCAACTTTAGTCTTTGTCTCCCTCATGAATGGGCAAGTGAGTGGACCAGAGGATCCTCCCTTTTCTTTCCAGTGGGTACACAGCAAACCTTCCTGGAGGCTAGCTTTATGGTTTAGCAAAGCTGCTTCTGTTTGTCTTTAAGTTGCTAAATTATCATGTGTGCTTCTTTCCTTCCCCATAGAGTGAGATAGAGGCTGGGCTCAAATCCCTGTTACTTCATATGTTGTGAGACCATTCCTGGCCCTGCACCCCAAGTCCCTGCTTCTCACCCATTCTGTTCCTACCCATCTAGCTAAAGTTTGAGTCTACCTGACTGTCAGGTTCAGGAGCTTGGATCTGCAGGTCATGACCTACCCACTCTGGAGCCAGATAGTCTCTAGGCAACCCTGACATCATACCCAGGATGCTGTCCCTGAGGGAGCAGATGGGTGGGCATGTCCTTTTAGTTCTGACTCTGAGCTAGTGTTTCTTAACTGGAAAAGCTACCTGGGCTATGGGAGGCTTCTTCTTACATACATGGCTGCATATGTGTCTCGTTGATGTGGTTCCTTAGTGAGTACAAGGATAAGCAGATACAGGGGTCAAGGAGGCCACTCACCACTCTCACCACGGTGGAAGGCTCAGAAAAGGAACTGGCTCCTAATCTTGTCTCCTGTTCTCTGTCAATCCCATGTTCCCTCCTCCAGAGCCTCTGCCTCACAGAACCAAACAGTTGAGAGGAAAAGCAGTCTGACAAACAGGGACTGAGCCCAGGTACCATGGCACATACTCACAGCTGCCTGGTGGGAGCTTGTGTTTAGTGTCTTCACCCTAAAAACAAGGTACTTTTCCCATTTAATTTATTAAGTGTCATCATAATCTCAGGAATTTCCTTAGTACAGAACTTTGAGCAAAGGTTCAGCACAGCCAAACAAGGCACCCAGCAAACAACTGTACTGATGAGCACAGGTGTGTGTAGGAGAAAGCAAGCTGAAAGGTAAACTGTACTGTATCCTGAGTGCTTCAAGTGCTCTCTGCTGGGGGGGGGGTGGCTTTTAAAATGCAATCTCATCTCTTTTCATAATAATAGCAATATGTGGCATATACTATTCTATTTTACAGATGACAAAATAAAGCTCAGTTCACTCAGCCCAAAAAGAACAGGGGTCAAGTGAACCTAGTTTATCTGACCCACCCCTCCCGATTTTCTCTTGGGTCTGGGCCTAACAAACTCTCCCCCTTCAAAACTGCTAACAAGTTCCAGCCAAGGCTCTTTGAAATAAGAGTGGTAAAGTCTTCTGTGAGACCCTGTAGCTCATTTCTGAAACACTTCTTCCTTTGCCAGCATTCTTCTCCCTTTCATTTCTGTTCTACATAGGGAAGCTCACAGTTCCAGGAGTCAGGACTCCTGTGATAAGCTGTGAACCAGAAGCACCCCTCCTAGCTGTGACAAATGAAAATATCTACACACCATTGTCAAGTGTCCTCTGGGGAAGCAAAATGATTCCCACTCATGATCAGTGGGTATAATCTGTTCCTGCAAGGCTAGTTCATATAAGCTGTAACTGGGAGCACCATCTGCCTCCCCTCCTCCAGGGAACATGTGTATTCTTTCTAAACCATGTCACAGAGCTGATGCCTGCTTGGGAAGCGGGTGAAGGAAGGAGGATAGAAGAAGCAGGTGAAATAGAAGCAAGAAAAGACAATGGAAAAGCTTTTAGAAATAAGAAAGGTTTATTTAGCAAAAGCCACTAGACTAGTGACAACATCCAGGGAGTAAGTGCACTTACATTAACAGAATCTTGTCCCAGAGAGTTGATCCAACAGAGTTAATGTCACAACAGCTTTAGGAAGTAGAGTAGAAGGTTAGAGGGTAGGAGGAAGCAGTCAAGCAAAGAGTAAATAAAGGAATACAACTCCTAAACAAGGTCAGCTGAGAGAAGCGAGGCTTGAAACAGGTTTTACAGATAGTATTGATATAAGCAGGAATACAAGGAATATAGTTTTCAGTCCCCATATGCAGTCCATCCTGTGCAGAGAAATTCTTTCCTGGCTCTGCCACTGTGAAGCCTTGTGTGCCCAAGAGTCTGCTGGCACCAATAAGGTAGGTACCCGTGGGGTCCACATGTCCTCCAGACAGGGCAGAGTAGAAGAATGAAAAGGAGGAAGGCAGAGTTAAGTTAGCAGAAGAGCAAGAAGCAAGGAGGGAGAAGGACGGAGAGACACTGCTGGGAAGTCAGGTCTGCAACATTCCCTTTCCTGCCCGGTGGCTCCAATGGAGGGTCGGTGGTTGGTGACCCTGAAAGTCCCCTATATCTGTTGTCTCCCATCTCCACACACCAAATGAAAACAGAGTTGAGTCACACTAGGGAGGGTGAACCCATGAATCAGTTGAGGAAGGTGGAACCAAGGGCAAAAGTCAGCATCATGTGACTAGTCTCTCCAATTTTTAACCTTATCTTTGTTTTTTTTTCTTTTCCTTTGCACATTTTTCAAGGCTGTTTTAGAAATTATTTTCCCCACTCACTCCCCCCCATCCCATCTTATTTCTCCATCCATAATCCAAATACCTAACCCATCGGTCTCTGGCTTCACCCTTTGCCCCTGCTTGCAGTAGTAGGCCTTGAGAAAACAGACCTTCCATTCTCCTGGACACTCAATGGACACTCAAAACTCTGACGGTCTAACAGGTCCGAGGCCGACTGAACCCGGGGCTAGGACTTCATAAGCTACACAGGCTCATTCGACCTGATTCCTGACTGCTGCTCCTTTAGTTTTGTGGTCCTCACATTCCTGAGTCTTCCTTCCCCATGTATCTGGACCTACTTCCAACTGCTAATTAGAAAATACAACAAATGGAATCATGCTTCTCCAACTAAATAAATGTTAGAAAAAGGACACAAATCTATTATTGACTCAAACACCCTGGGGATCTCCTTTCCCTTCTCACCAGTAAATTCTCATAAGCCTACAAACATGTGCATACCTTCCTTCCCATAAACATACACACACACACACACACACACACACACACACACATCATATCACCATCCTATTTCCACTGACACTGATGCGCCAGGAAGGGCTAATGTAATGATGTGTCTGCTTCCTTTAACTTGGACTTTCAGGTCTAGAAAAAAATCCCTCTGTGGGTATAAGAAAGGGCTGCGCTTGCATTTATGTAAATTCCATAACCAAGCTGGGTTTGAAGAACTCCATTAGGGCAACTAAATCCTTATCAATTGGCCCTCTAATAATAGTGCAGTCTGGTCTGTAGCTTGTTGTCCAGGATGAGGACTTCTTCCCCCAAACATATAACTCAAACATGTCTAGTTTTCTCCTCAAGCATCTGAAAATCTGTTAGCCACTGAAGGCTTTACAGGAACAAAAGGAACTTTTTCTCATGGGCCCAGCCAGCCTGTTACTACATGGAGAACTCTAGGCAAGGCCTAGATGGAGAGATAAAAGTTGCACTTTTTATAGGTGTGCTCAAGGCACGCACCCAGAGAGATGGGCCAAGGTGGCATGGCTGTGGTCCCTGATCTAAGTGGCAGTGATTCTGAAGAGTGGAAAAAAGCATTCTCAGCTATCAGCATACATCCTTTTTGGTTTTTTGCAGTAAAAACTACTACTGACCAGTGGAGGGAACAGATCGTGAGGTAAGGCAGGGGGCTCTGGGTCTCTGAGGCTTTCACCGAGGCAAAATGCTGCAAAAGCTTTGGCTAGCACAGCTCCTGAGGCAGGACACAGGGAATAAGGGGCATGTTCCAGCCTCCGTTTATAAAAGTTGGGCTACAGGCAGGGCCAGGCTGGGCAGGGCTTCCAAACTGAAGAACTAGACCTAAGTGAATTGTGGTTGTCATCGTCCTGGGCTCTCACAGCAGAGGCCTGAATGGTATTAACACTCCTAGGCTCCACTGGAAGCAACATCCAACATCTAGCTGGAGAAAATGTTTGGATACAATTTCTTCTAATAGCTTATCCACAGTGATTTGTAATATATCCCAATTCCATGCCTACACTAAAAGGAACAACCTGGCTTTTGCAACTCAGAGCATTCAGTCTGTACAATCTCATCAAAGGCTTGGAGAAGGAACTCTCCTGTGAGGTCGGGAGGGTTAGGCAACTCTAGTATCCTGATATCCAGAAAGCATGTACCTGAAAAGGTACTTCCCTTTATGGTCTGGTCTATGGAGAGGGGAAGAAAAAGAGGGCCATTGAGGCATCACACGACACAGCAGAGGAGCCTGACAGTGCAGCAGGTAAAGGCAGCAAGTCTTCTAGGAGCCCATGGTCTTGAAGAGGGACCCTCTCCTAAAGCCATGGGCTCTGGAAGGCCTGGCTCCCATCACCTCACAGTCACAAGCAGAAGGTAGGCAATAATTTGCCTTTGGGAATCCAAGTTTTTCCCTATTTACCCTCCATAGCAAAATCCTAATTGCCCTATACTCTCTGGGGTCCTGGGTATTATCCTCAGCAGTGCCTTTACTGGACACTCCCCCCTACCTGGGCAGCAGCCAGATTTGGCCCCTCCACACCGTGGACACCACCTTTGCTGTCTCCTCACCCTGCATCTACACAGCAATCTCATCATCTAGGCTGTCGCCCAGCTCCTGCCGCTGCAGGACATTGAGCAGGCGTGGCAGCTCTTCCTGGGACCATGAGTCACGCTCCTCACTCTCGTCTGTGTTGGACTCATACTCCGAGGCGATGCCTGACTCTCTGAACTTGATGAGCTCCAGGCTGCCCAGGAGCGGTTCGCCCTGTACTGGGGGTGGGGTGTCTTCAGGTGGGAGAAAACGAAAGCACTCCAGCTTCACCAAGCAGTCGCGCCTACCTAGGGGGCTCCCTACTGGGTGGGCAAAGTCAGCCAAGCCTGCGCCCAGCGGAGGTGAATGCAGGTCCTCTGGCTTAGGGGTCGTGGGGTCACAGAGCACCGGCAGGGCTCCAGAGCGGAAAGTGATCTCCAGCAAGCTGTCCTGGGAGCCCACTGCAGGGAGACAAGAGGGAGGAGAGAGACATTAGTCAAGGTTCTAGATATGAGTTCATGTAAACCCTACAGTTTGGGAAGGCTACATTCTAATAGCCTGAGCACCTACAAGGGTACTTCCCTGTTCAATTTCACAGCATCTCACAAGTGTTTTACACATTGAACACAGCATCCCTTCCTTCTGCCACTGGAGCACCAGACACACCAGGCAGCAGGGGAGCAGCTTCCCAACAGCAGCAAAGGCAGGGCAATGTGAATGACATGATGACTGGGGAAGGCTACTGAGTGAATGCCTCGAATGGGGTTTGTAGTAGGGAAAAGGTACCAGTTCGGAGAGTCAAGCTATAAGCAGCAGTAACCTTCAGTATCCCAAAGGCAGCATTAGTTAGGACAGGCCAGGGTCTCAACAAACAAAAAATCTAGACAGTCCAGAGGCTTTAAAGAACAGTGAGGGACAGTGGCTCCCAGCCCACACCACTGGGCCTCTTTAAAAATGCAGCCTGCTCCAGACTCATGGTTGGATCAGAATCTCTGTGGGCTGGACCACTGGATCACTCATGGGGATGTCTGAGGGAACTACTGGTATAGCTGGAAAAACATTAGCAATGCAATCAGACTTTGGTGTGAATACTGGCTGCACCCTTTGCTAGTCCTGTGACCTTGAGCTACTTACTTATTTTCTCTGAATCTGTTTCCTTAGCTACAAAATGGGTACAATAATACCTACCACTGTAGAGATTAAATAAGCTCACATATTAATTCTATCACAATTTCTGGTGATCAATGGGTATTTGTCAATCCACAGCCAACAAAGACTGTAAGCATATACATACAACCCATGGGTAAACTCAAGATAAAGGCATAGAGATGTTTTGCCTTTTATTGCTTCTGCCTTGAGCTTGGAGGTGGCTGAGAGTACAGGTAGCCTCTTTGGCCAAGGGTCAGACAACCTCCTCCACAGACCACAGAGATGTCTGACCACAGTTACTCTGTTGCCTTATATATTGAATGGATATACTGTTATCAGTTTCTTCTGTGTAACAGAGTTGTGAAATATATAATGCACAGAATCAACTACTAAAAAGTTAGAGGTTTCTCCCAGATTTCACAAAGAACATGATAACCAACAGTTGCTGAGTATACGTTGGAAAAGCCCTCTGAGAAAGAAATGAGCTCTTAGGCTACAGAGTACTTGAGCCCCTTCAAGTAGTGACTGGACAAGCATGTGGGAGTGACTCCTAGGGACATTTAAGACCAAGGAAATCTGTATGTCTGGTAGAAGATAGCTAAGTTCTGCTCTGGCCCTACAATTCTATAATTCTTGAGGTATACAGACAGTACAAGCAAAACTGCTGATTTTTCTGCTAGAATACAAGAGCAAGATCAAGGGTCCAACTAAACATCCTCCATAGCTTTAGGAAAGTGACATGGGTTTTCCAGAGCTTCACACAGGGAGTGAGACTGGGCAGGGCACTGGCTTACTGGCATTCTGTCCTGACAGTTTCAGCTCCAGCTCTTGCACTTGCTTGACCAGCAGGGAGATGTGCTGTAGCATGTCCTTGTTCTGTAGCAAGAGCTGGTGCACACGAGCCTGGGCCTCCAGCCGCGCCGCAGCCTCAGCAGCCAACTGATCCTTCAGCAAGTGGACCTGCAGAGAGGAGGTGGCAGGGAAGACAGGAGGAGGTGGGACAAAGAGAAGAGAGGAACACAAATGCAAATGAGAGTTGCCAGTGGATGGCCAGCCAGATGTGCCCTCCACATTCAATTTAAGATAAAGAAGCCATTCATGGAAAAGTGGGCACCTGAACCTGTAATTCTGGGTCACTGGTCCTGTGGATCTCTCTATAGGCACCTGAGGCAGGGCCATGGTCCATCACTCAGGTACCACTCTATACCCCAACTCAAGTGCAAGATGTAGAAAAGACAACCTGCACTGCCCTCCACCCCCTTGTCCTCAGTCCCAACACAGCACTGCCATGTTGAGGAAGTACCCTTATCTCATCCTGTCTTTTAAAAAATAAAAACTGATATATAGACCTACTATCTGAAAACAGTGTCACAATAACCTCCATATAATCTGCGCTTCTTCTTCCTTGAATGCAAACATAACAAGAAACAGGAAGTATACTATAGATTTCTAATTAGTGAGCTGGTACAGTAAAGCCTGTCTTCTCATGTCTGGGGTGCCAGTTTCTTTGCCAGTCTAATCCTTTGTTATTCCATGAAGACACCTAAGGCTATGATTCCTTCCTGGAAGGGGTCAAACATTCACTGAGTGACTCATACAGGACTCCTTTGACAGGTGCTCCTTTATAATGAGCACCTCATCAATTCACAATCTTCTCATGTTAGAGCAGCTGGTAATGGCATATTCATCAGACTTGAGGCTAGTGGTGTTTACATGTCTGCTTGTGGTATTTATAATACTCATATGGAGATAAAATTCAGAGATGAGGCAATTATATCAGGCCCTCTGGCTTTGAGACACTGAGTCACAATGCCAAGAGCAATACACACAAACACAGGCACATGCATGCATACACACACACACACAAACACACACACACACACATGATTCTTGTGCTAGGAAGGAGATAGTCTCTGTGGGAGGGTTTCAGAAGGCCCCAAAGAAAGGGAATTAATGAATTTGGTGACTTGGACCAAGGCAACTTATAGGGAGAACGGTTTTCTTGGATCAAAAACATGTGTGGACAAAAAGTAAGATAGGTGGGACATGGAATGGAGGAGAAAGATGGAAGGGAAGGCAGAAGCATTAGCTGATTCTCTTTCCTAGACCACAAATGTTTTAGACTTAGGAAAAGCAGTGTGCTCCAGGGATTGACATTTTGTCAGAGAGTAAAGACCATAACCACCTTACCATCCCCACATCTGCTCCTTCCAGGAGCCAGTACCAAAAAAATTATACTCTTGGGTATAATTGGGTACAGTAGTGGCTGCTTCCCTCTCTACCCAGATTTAAGGGCCCGACCTTGCTCTGCTTCAAACTGAGTGGTGCTACTAATGAGATTAGCTGCTACTTTCCATTAGTGGCTCCCCAAGGTTGGGTCCATTCTTCCCCAGGGAGATTATGCCTAAGGAATCTAAAGTAAATCTGTCCTCCATGAAGGATCCAGAGAGGGGTGAAATAGTTAAAGAAGTGTCAATAACATTTTAATCTGAATATCAGATGATGGGAGCCTTTATCTTTCTTGGAAATAGAGGCATGGAGAAATTTCATGGAGGATTTGGGAGTCCCCCAAATCCTACTGGTTATTAGGGACAGAGAAATTGCCATGATAAATCCCCAGAAGAAGGGTCAGCTCAACGCTTTATCTGAGAGTACTGTTACTTATTCAAACTAAAAGTATCATTGAAGGGAAACTACTGAACTAGAACTGCTAACTATTCATTTTCTATTTTCCTTGGATCCAAACAGAAATATCAGAAATGTGGAACAGTTTTTCAGAGAAAGCAGAGAATCCTGCACACCACTAACTTGCCTCAGTGTGTAAATAGTGTACACATTTACACACTTGTACACATGCTCCAGACTCAGGTTGTAGCATCCTGACCCAGACATCCCAACAGAACAGGCTATTTGGAAACAGTGAACCAGGAGCTTGGATCCTGGAACTTGGTGGTTACTCCCCAGGCAATTATAGGTAATTCACTTCTCTCTGGACCTCAGTTTCTCCATTTGCAAACTGAGGGGGATGGTTAGGGGCCCAGACAATTGATTCCATCTGCAGGTGGACACAGTGGTCAGTACTAGGAGCCACTTGCTAATGGTTAATTGAGAAAAAGTTCCCAGTTCCCCACTGCAACATCTGAGAATTGCAATTGAGGACAAAAGAGCAGTTCCCACTTGCAGAAGCCAGGGGGGAAAGTGAGAAGCTTCTTTGGCAGGTATTCAAGTTCCAAAGGTAGAGTGCCATCAACACAGGAAAGAAGACCTTTAACTCCAATGCTACTGGTGCAAACCCACCGGACTCAGTGCCACAAGAAAAAGTTCCTGAGTGTAAGAGCTTCTCATCCCAGATTATATAAGAATTTTACCATGTGAATGCAGAGTTATACCATTTCAAGTGTTTTCAAATCCTATGAGTATGCAAAGTACACCCTGCCACCCTCCCAAACCAGCACTAATGAATTCTTGCTTCTGCAACTGTCACAAGTGGCCTCAGGCATGAGGCTCAAATCTCAGATGCAGCAGCCTGTGCAGGAGGAGAACCCAAATCAGGCCAATACAGCCTGGACTTCTTTGAACTTTGAAGTTCAAAGTATATGAAGTATATGTGATCTTGAGTCTGAAGTACTGAAAGGAGACAGCATTACTTCTAGACTTGGTTTGGGCAGTGTGCTATGGCTCTCTGCTTTGTTTCCCTATTCATACAACTAGAGCAGAAGTCTCCATACCCCCCCTCCAAGATAAGATATTTATTTGTCTTTAGCATACTTCTCTCACAAAGAATCAAATGCTTTTCACAAAAGCTGACCATATTAATTTCCAAAAAGGTACCTGTGTCACTTTTCCAGAGCTATGCCATCTTTGGCAGTGACTATTCCACTTACAGACAGTAGTACAGACATGGTGATTGGGCACTAAGGCCACATTCAGTGCTAGTGTCCAGATCCGCTTCCTGGTCATAGCACAACGTGCATAAAACCAACCTTGTACCCTCCAGCACTGTGCCACTTCCCCATACTCTGACACCCACCCTCAACCCACCCAGCCACATCAGACCACTGCCCCACTCACTCACTCTCCAGCCTACTTGCCTGGACTCCAGCTCCTCCATCAGAAGTGGGGGCAGGGCCAGGCTGAAGTTAGGGAGCAGTAGGCACATGAAAATGGCAGTGGAGAGAACCAGAGCAATTTGCCCCACACACACCAGACACAAGCAGAGGCAGGTGGTGCTGTCTCATCATGCATATGGCAGGGACTTAGGCCGTGCACACCAGAATGCTGGGGACTAGGAGAAGCCATGAGAACAGATACTACATCTAGGGCCTGGGGTGGGAATGCACAGCATTTTCAGCACTAGTCCTTTAACTATACCACACACGATTGCAAAGCATAAATAACTAATTACTTGTTCCTAAACGAGCAGAAGTGGCAGCAGGTAGAGCAGGAGGCTTTAAATAGCAATATTGAGCTGTACTAACATTTTCCCATGAGCTAGGACAGGAATTGGCAAACTGTGAACAGATCTAGCCTACTTAATTGTTGTCAGGCAGCCACAGTACCCCAGGTCAATTCTAGAGCCATGTAGGCCCAGTCCACAGCCATGCAGGCCCAAGCTACATCCCAGGTTTGATTCAAAGTATGGAAATAATCTCACACCCTTGAACTTCTAAAAGCAGAAAGCTAATGCAGCCAGGCGAGCCTCATGCTGGGCTGGGAGAGCAGGTAAAGGGACTCAGGTAATTCACTATTTACACACTGAGGCCTAACTTAAAAATGTTTAAGAAGTGACTGAACATCACCTTTGCCTGTATTCCTTTAAGGCCAGGACAGGCCTTTCAAGTTCAGCTCTGAACAAATTTAGCTGAGGCTGGGGGGAAGTTTGAGGTCTTACACCAAATCACAACACCATGACAGAAAGACCTAAGCCTTACCCCAATGGTAACTGCAGAACCAGAGTAGCCTGTGAGAATAAATAAGTTGGGGGACATAAAGAATGCAACAAGTGACTCTAAGAGTGTATCTATTTGTAAGAAACTGGGGCTTAGCAACACAAGAGAAAGGGAAACTGTTCCCACCTGAAATGCTGAGGTCACAGTTTTACTCACTGAAATTCTGGAGGCCACTCGTAGTTTAATGAAGAAAGACAAATACCTTCCAGTTTTCTGGCAATAGAGTCTGACAGAACAAGTAAAAGCTGACCGCATGCTGGAAACTGAAATCAGTCCCACTCATGCAGAGAAACCAAGCATGCTGCAGTTGGTCTATTTCAAATGTGTGCAAGATCCTAACATGATCTATCATTAACCCACATACATATTCTTACCAGATTGTCTCACCCAAAGATACAGATGATAATAAGCTCTTGGATCAACTCCTATAGAGAGACTGGAAGAAAGAGTATACAGAGAAATCTCTAGTTGAAGGCAGGTTTAGGACTGAATCCACCTGCACGACAGGACACCTGAGATCCAGCTGACAGATACAGCAATATCCTGCTGTATTCCTAGGCAGCAAAAGCAAGATGCAGACAGAAGGAAGAAGGTCAGAGACTGGCTGATGGGAATGATAGAGAGGGGTTGAGGAGTATGTTCAAGAAGCCACCTGATGACCTCAAGGTCTTATCTCTAACCTAAAGATTCTGGAAGGCTACCACTCTACCCAAAGTCACTGTACCAATACAGGACATGGATACGCTATGGTGGCCTTTCATCATCTCACTGTTTGGACTGAGAGTCAAGCAAGGAAGTGCCAGTTATATCTAACAGATTCCAAATGAGAAAGGCTCTGTCTGTCCAGCCTGCAGAAGTGGCTGGAACTGAGAGAGCCTCATGAAATGAATCCCAAATACCACAGTTTCCTTCCCCTAGATTAACTGTCTTCCAAGAGAGAGGCAATAAAAATGGGGCAAGACAGGAATGTCCCATTGAGACAGATGCTTGATTCTATGCCAGAAAACCACTCTTCAGGTTTTGTCCTGACTCTGGTAGACCTGTGGTAAGTTACAGGTCTTATTCTTTTGTAGACTGAGTGCTTCCTTCAGCCACCACAATCTACTGTTGTGTGTAGATTAGACATTTGTAAATAGTCTCTCTTTAGTACTTAGCAGGAACTTCAGATTCAAATGCCTTTCTGATAATATGACATCATGAATATGCATTAAACTTACTCTTAGATAAATAATAATTACTTGGCAATTGATATGCTAAAAGATGAAAGAAGTATGGCTGCAGAATGGATCCGTATTCAATGGGAAACTTTTGGAAATGATGTGTCTAGAAATGGACTTGGTGCTGGAGTGCTCAGGCTTTATACTCCTGTCATCCATCACACTGGAGAGGAAGGGATTTTCAGACTGCCACACCATCATTAATCCTAAGAGATGAATTCTTTTATTTGACAAACAGGAATGATTTTTTCACTCCCTTCTGTTGCTGTTTTTGAAACACATGCAAATGGTTTCATGGTCAGAATTTTTTTAAAGGCTCAAGTCCCTTGGGAAGAGTATCCCACTGATTCAACTAGTGCCAAAGTCATCCATGAAGTGGCTAACACCTCAGGCCCAGGTCAGAGGAGACTATGTTACAAGGTCTTCTCAAGGACAAGTCATTGCAGATTCTGCTATGGATAGGTTGCTGGATGCTTTCTCAAGATATCCTGAGGAAAGGACTGCTCTGCTTAGGGAAGAGATTCACTTTACACAGGTGCCAGGAAAAAAGTAAGTACAAGACACAAAGAGGATTAATAAGTACTCCTTGAAGAAGTCTGCTCCTTGCATAGAATGCAGAAAATCTAAGCAGCCAGTTTGCCCAAGTAAATTTAAAGCCAAAGCATACACCTATCATTCTAGATCTCTTGCCAACTCCTAATTCTCCTAGTTCTCCTGACTTCTCCATCTTCCTAATTAATTATCTTCATCCACTCACTCAGGCCCTGATTCTGTCTGACTCTGGCCTTAGGATTCAGTCTTTAAATTGAATGACCAAATGTATCTTAGCCATTCCCTGCCTACCCATGTTAGAAATAAAGTTCAGACTCCTAAGTTCCAAGGAAGGTGTGGATTTGGTGCCTTCCACAGAAAGCAAATGGTGGGATTCCCTGCTAAAAGAAGCAGAGGCAATCAGCTCAGTCCTCTCTTACAAAGTAGCAGTACCCAACAAGACTTTGGGGCACAAACTCCACCTGGATATTGAGAGGAAAGCCAATTCTTCTTATGGCTCAAATAATCTACCTAAATTCCTGCAGACTCAATCCCATTATAATGAATTCCAAGGCTAATATTATATCAGATGCTGCCTAGAATACGTAGTTCATTAGTGGAGGCTTAGAAATCTGTTGTGGACAAGGAGGTTGGGATTCCAGGGCAGTATCTTTGCAATGATGCTTGGCACAAATGAATCCTTTAAGCTGTTTAAGAGTGGTATCACAAAGTTATCCTGTCCTGACTCCAAAGGCATCCCCTCCTACTCCAAACATCAGGAAAACAAGACAGGGAAGGAAGGGTAGAATTGTGTGCATCTTTTGCCTTCTTAAATTCAAGTCATTATTCAACAACATCCAGCCAAGCCAGCCAAGCCCAACTCAGAGTGGGGGATACATGAGAAATAAAAATGTGTCTTTTCATTTCATCTGCATCCCCCAATCTCTCCCTGTCTGCCTTTCACCTCCCCAACTCCCCAACAAGCAATGATCCAATAGCATGAGCAATTCTTATGGCTCCCTAGGTTTTAAACCTGCCCTGAGCCCCTTGCTAAGGAAGGCACATCAAGCCCATGAGAGTGGAGCCTGTGAAGTAGGGAGGAGGCTGAGGAGAACCTGGGCCACAGCCACTTGCGTCTGTTGCTGCTGCTGCTGGAGGAGCTGCTGGAGGAGTTGCATCTGGTGATGTGTAGACAGTGGCGTCCCTGTGCCCAAGCCTGGTAGCTTCGAGGAAGAAGAGGGAAGCAGCATTCGAGGTGAGGCTGTCAGCATGGGTTCCTGAGGGTGGGGTGAGACCTGAGGAGATGACAGGACATGACACAAAGGCAGGAACTACTTGAAGGGGTCTCGCTTTCTTTGTAATATTCATGACTTACTCACAGGCAGAGTGAAATGGCCACTTACAACTTATGAGTTGGGGATGCTATGTCCTGAATGGAATATGAAATGGGGCTCCAGGGAGGACATGTCACTGCCTGAGTTTGGACCCTAGTTAGAAAATCATACCTGGACACCTCAGGAACTGGTCTGATGAGATGGGAGACAGGCAGCTGGAACTGTCCTATCTCTTACCCACCATTTCTAATTATACCCTGTTGCTGAGTTATTTGAGTTCTAGAGTCAGAAGAAGCTATGTCTATAAAACACAGCTATCTACCATGAGAACAGGAGGAAGGCAGCTTCAATTCTTTCTTTTCCGTCTGTAGGGCTCTCTTTTCTAGGGTCTGAGATGTTTCTCACAAATTGGGCACTGGAGAAAGAGGCCAGTTGAGGGGCACCTACCTCTAGTCCTCCTTTGTTTGCTGACCACAGTTTCTGGCTCCCATTTTCACTTAGATGGCCCTTATGACTAAGAATTCAATGGCAGGGAGATGTGTATTATTTCTGGTGGCTCTGTTGCTGGTCCTTGTTCAGACTGCAGGAGAAAGGCACCTAGGGATACAGGGCTCTGGCCCCTTACATAGAAGTATCTGGGCACCAAAGGAAATAATGAGGCTCTGCCCATCAAGCTACACAGACTTCTCCTTCTGATGAAGTGGCCTAAAAATGCCACCTGAGATGAAGGATGATGAAGAAAGAGGCACCCATGATACAGTGAGTTGGCTATAAATTCAAGTGTAGGGCCACTGGTCAGTAACTTTCCTTTTGATTTTTTGTTTCTCTTAGTTTGTCTTTAGGATCAAATTTGGTCTAGAGCCCTTAGGGTTTTTCTTTCTTTTTTTAATTTTTAATATGGGTCATATTAGGAACTTCTCAAGGGCTCAGTTATCCCACTTGTAGGATGTTAGGCTAATGGCGATGATGCATACCCTAAGGTTCGTCTCTCATTTCTAACACGCAGTGGGCAAGTTTCTGGATTTAACAGCGCTGTTGTACAGAAGTGTTAAAGGCACACAATTATTAGAGTGGGCAGAAGGGGCTCACATGGATGTGGCTCCACTAGCGAAGCTATAGGGGTTATGTGTACCCTGTTGGTATACCAGGATGAGCCTTGCACAAATACGGTGTAGAAATGAGATGCCATTGTGCAGGGAGAAGAAGGAAATCACAAATTGATGGGATCCTAGGAGGATAATGCATGTCAGAAATGAGCTCCACAGCACCTTGACACAGCAAGGTCTAGTGATAGCACACAGGGACTGAATATGCAGAAGTCAGGTCTTCCTCTGAGAAGCAATGAAACATGCTCCAGTTCTACTCCCATGCCATGGAGTGCCTCATTCTGCAGCTGTGCCAGCAGGCACTAGGAGGCAACTCTGACAGACTGAGGCAGAGGCTGTGACACAGGATGCTTCCAGAGGCAGCAAGACCACATATGTGCAGATCACCTTGATGGGCTACCTCCTGCCTACCTTGGGGTCTGTGTGGGAGCCTCCTTCCTTCCCTACGGCATCCAGATCGGTCACACCTCTGCTGAATTCCAGGACATCACTCCCTGGGAGTGGGACCTCCACTGCGTCAATGTCAGTCTCCTCTGCAGTAGAAGAGAGGCCCTCCCGGCCTGTAGGGGCCCTCTCGGCTCCAGTGAGCTGTCGGCCTGTAGGGACAACAGGGAAAATAAGAGTAACATCAAGAACAATGTCCCCTCTTTATCTACCACTTTAGCTTTCAGTTAGACCAAGCCTAGGGATGCCATGGGCTTCACAACATTTTCATACATCTTTTCACTTTTTCAACCCTATAAGACATTTCCATTTTAATATCTTTACAAAGTCCATCCACAGTCAAAGGAAACATTTTCCTCAAGTCTGATGAGATAGTTTTTCCAAGCTGGTAAGTTTTTATGGATAGGTATGGGGACTCTAGAAGAGGGGGATAGTCGTTTTTACCTCATCCTAGCTAAGAGATAAAATCTGGTCATCTAAGCTCAGTCAGATGGACAGGGGGAGTTTCATGACTGAGCAGTGATGACAGGGAGATCTGAGCCTTGTCCTCACCCAGTATCATCTCCCAGCCTCATAAGCTAACACTAATCTCCCAGCAAGAGCTGAGACAAGGGTAGCAGAGATGGAGAAGGCTGTTTTCCCATGCCTTCTTCAGCTAGCTTTTCTATTTTCCTACAGCGGTCATGTCTTTTACCACATACAGAGCAAATTACTCAATACCAATGTATCAAAGTACCACTATTTTTAATTTTACTTTATTCCTTTTTTCCTCTTTATTTCTTGGACTCTCCAAAAACACCTGATAATTCCTGGATATTTCATACAAAATGTTTTCTTGCTCTGTATTTGGGATTGAGTCATCGCCAAGGTCTTCAAATACAATTTCTTTAGAGTTTTCAGAAACTAAGCACCAATTGGAAAATGGAGCAGGATGGTGTAAGCAGGAAATACAGAGAGCTGACACCCTAATGCTGAAGCTAGCCCAGGCTACCAGGTCCAGTCATTTAAGCATCTGCCTCACAGAACAAATGGTTCTAGGAATTCTTGCTATGCAAACCCACACCAGTCATCTGTGGGAAACAAGTCTGGTATTTAGAACGTCAAGAGTGTTCTTGGCTTTTCTCCTAGCTGCTTGAGGAACTGGGGAGATAGCTGAGGGACACAAAGGCATTTAATAGAAAGGATGATCCTGACTGTGGCCTGGTAGAATAGCTCTTCTGTTGCTTTGTAACCAGCAGGCATGGAGCACAGGAGCAGTTTGCTTTCCACCACACTCTTGCACCCAGAAATGACCTTGACAATCAATAGGAGGTTAGCCTAAGAGAAAGAGAGGGCTGATAGGTAACCCATGACTGTTTTTCAGTAGCCATGGATGATGCTGGGAATTGAGCATCTGGTCCTTCATGCCAATCTAGCAATAATCAGGTGAAAGCGGTATTTCTTCTGAGCAGAAGAGACTTTCATCATTGTCAGGATGAGCTGGGCTCCCACAGGACTCTATGTATGTTTTTGGATCTCAGGGAACTTAGCACATGACATTGAATATGCCTTGCCATCCATTTTCTCCTCTAAGCTTGAGGTCAGGGCTATATCCCATTTATCTATTTCCTAAGGATTTAGCTCAGAGAAGATGTCCCATAAATATCAACAAGGCAGTACAACAGGGGAGCAGGTTACAAAAGGAGGCTGCAACACCATGCCTCCTCCCTGGAGATCCTAATAAGGAGGACTAAGTCTCTGGACACAAAAGGTTTGAATGACCCCTGCCAGAAGCCATGGTAGGATCAGATAACCTCTCCGGTTCTAGCTCTGCTTCTGAGAGAGTCTTAATAAACCAAACTTCTCAGCCATTCTGTCTATACTAGCAGAATTCCAAAACTAATGCAAAGTAACTCAATTGCAAACCATGGGGTCATTTTCTGACAGATTCCTACTGCCCAGTAGATGCTTTAATGGCCACATTGGGAATCTTGCTGACTCAATGGGTAAGCAGATCAGGTAAAACTGGGAAGGGGAACATTGAGGTAGGCATTGGATTGAGGGACACAATTATTGTGTAGATAGATGAGACAAGGCCTAGAGGAAGGGTCCCCAATGCCAATGGGCTTCTTCAGGTCCTATCAGATAAGGAGGGAAAAATAGCATCTTCAACTGTCCTGGCATCAAGAAGCCCAAGGGATAAGAAATGGCATGAAAAACCTTCTGACAAATCTGAGAAATTTATGGAATAGAGCTCTGCAGCTTGCAAATTATAGTAGAGAGAAGGAAGACCAAGATTGGGGGTGGAAGGCCATATTGCTTTCTGAATTGCTTAAACTATTTCTATACATTAAATTGTAACCAGACTAGTACTATATATTAAATAGTAACTAAAAGCCAGTAGATATATGATTATTTCATTATTTATTCAATAAGCATTTATTAAGCACCTTGAATATGACAAATGCCTACTAGACTCTGAGAGTAAAGATGAATAAGCAAAATCTGTTTTTAGAGCTTCTCCAGCCTAATGAAGGAAACGGACATAAACCACAGTTGCAGCCTGAGGTTTAAGTGTCACCTATGAGGGAGCTATCCAAGGTGTGGGACAAATGAGAGGAACACCTAGTGGGCAGGGTTAAAGAAGGCTGTGCAGAGGGGAAAAATGGATTCTGATGGAGGAGTTCAAGCTTAGGCAGGTGTGGGACAGGGAGAGTCACAAGAGGCATTCTAGGTAGAGAGTAAGGCAGGTGCATATACAAAGAGGGGTGGAAATTCGAGGCAGGTCGGGACACTTTGAGTAGTTACATAGGGAAGACCCTAACTAAGAAGAGTTGGGATTTTCTATTGAAAGACTGAAGCAGGTAATACCCAAAGATTTTCATTCTTTACAACTTCACCCTAGAGGTGCTGTGGAGGACAGACCCAGAAGGGACAACACAGAGCACTATGCTAGGTGAGAAGTACCAGAGCTTAAGCTAAGGAGGTGGCAATTAAACAGAGAAGAGGGAGAAGATTTGAAAGATCTTTGGGAGGCACAACTCACAAGGATTGTTGACCAACTGTCTCTGATATGGAGGTGGATGTATGTATAGGATGAACTCTTAAATTTCTGATGCAGGTGAGTTGGTGGACACTGGTATCCTATAGGGAAAATTCAGGAGGAGAAGGATGTAGGTAAGAGGATGGGTTTTTGAACCTATAGAAATTGTAGATATACAGTTGCATGTCTAACAGTTAAATGAATATATTCATTATGCTGCTGAGTAGTGTTACAGGCTGCATGTTTCTGTTCCCTAAGTTCACATGTGGAGGCCTTACCTCCTGATATTACTGTATTTGGAGATAAGGGTTTTAGAAAGTAATTGGGTCACAGGGTAGAACCTACATGATGGGATTAGTGCCCTTTTAAGAAGAGACTTGAGAGATCTCCTTGCCATGTGAAAAGACAGCTATCTGCAGGCCAGGAAGAGTTCTCACCTGGAACTGAATTGGCCTGCATCTTGACCTTGGACTTCTCAGCTTCCACAACTGTTAGAAATAAAAGTCTATTGGTTAAGCCACACAATATACAGTACTTTATTATGGGAGCCTAAGCAGATAATGACAGCATGTGAATGGAAATTAAACCATAGAAGTCAGAAAAGAACCCAGGGACCAAGTCCAAACTTCAACACTTAAGGGAGAGGTTAGAAGAGGAGCCTGTACAGGATGCAGCTAGCAGAGAAAAAAGGGAGGGTATGGAAGGTGAGCACTTCATTCTTAGAAGCCATGGAAGGTGAGCACTTCATTCCTAGGATGAACCCTACAGAGAAAGGTATGCCCTTCAGTGATCATGGCTGGTAGTTCTAGGAAGGACTGGAAGGGCAGTAGACACCAGATCATTGGAGGCTGAAGAGGTAGTAGCAATGCTGGAGAGAAAATAAGGAAGTACTCAGTAAACATAAGTTTATAAGAAGTTGGGCTAAGACAGAAAGAAGATAGTTCTTTATATATATATTTGATATTAATCTCCTGCCAGATGAATAGCTGGCAAAGATTTTCTCCCATTGTAGGTCACTGCTGTACAGAAGGTTTTCAACTTGATGCTAATCTCATTTGTCAACTCTTCCTAGTATTTCCTGAGTTCCTGGAGTCCTATTCAGAAAGGTGCTGCCTATGACTTCAAGTGTTTTCCCCGTTAATCTCTATTCTTTCAAAATTCCAGGTTTTACATCAAGATATTTGATTCATTTTGAAATGATTTTTGTACAGGGTAAGAGACAAGGATCTAGAAGACAAGGATAGTCTTCTACATGTGAATATCCAGTTTTTCCAGCACCATTTGTTGAAGAGGCTGTTTTTTCTTCAACATGTGGTTTTGGTACCTTTGTTGAGTCAGATGGCTGTAGCTGCATGGATCTATTTTCTATTCCATTGGTCCATGTGTCTGTTTTTTGTGCTTGCTGATATCAGGCTATTTTTGTTACTATGGCTCTGTACTGTAACATGAAATATAGAATTGTGATACCTCAGCACCCTTTTTTACTCATGACTGCTTTGCTATTTGGGCTCTTTTGTACTTCTATATGAATTTTAGGACTTTTCTATTTTTGTGAAGAATGTTACTGGAATTTTGATAGGGATTACATTGAATCTATGGATTTTTCAGTAGTATAGTCATTTTCACAATATTAATTCTGCCTATCCTGGAACATAGAAAGTTGTTGCATTTTCTAGTGTCTTCATAAATTTCTTTCTGCAGTGCTTTACAGTTTTGGTTTTTTTTTTTTTTGGTAGCACTGGGATTTGAACTCAGGGCCTCATGCTTGCTAGGCAGGCACTCTATCACTTGAGCCACTCCACCAGCCCTGTTTTTGTGTTGGGTATTTTCAAGATAGGGTCTCGTGAACTATTTTCCCTGGGCTGACTTCAAACCTTGATCCTCCTGAGTAGCCAGGATTACAGATGTGAGCCACTAGTGCCCCACTTCAGCGTATTATAGTTTTTACTGTAGTGGTCTTTCACCTCCTTGATTAGATTGATTCCTAGGTATTTTTTTGTGGCTATTTTGAACACTACCCCAACTTTGAATCTGCGCTCCTTGACAATGAAAAGGTTGCTGTCTTGTTCACAGTATCCCCAGTACTTGATCTGAGCCTGGCACATAGCATTGACTTGATAAATATCTATT